CATCATGGTTTGAATATTGCGTCCTCACCCGGTCGGCATGCAGTGAACCGCCGTCATCACCCACTGATCCGCCACCACGAAACCCCCACACTCGTGCTTCATGTTGTCTCCTTCCGGTACCTGGATGGAGGCCATGTAGGGCCGAGAGTGGGCCGCCGCCTCCCTGCCGCCAATTATAGCCGCACCTGTTAAAGTTTTTACAATAAAAACTCCTGAATCTGCAGCAGAAACACTGTAAAATAATCTGAAACCTGCAGGAGACCAACGTGAGCTCACTCTGTGAGATGAGGGCAGCGATGAAAACAGCCAGCAGAGCTTCTCTCCCCGATGCCATGATGCCGTTTTGACTGACCACAAACCAGCCAGCGTGCAGCTTTTAAAGGGTTTCGCTGCAAACAGAGGAAACATTAATCAAGCAGATGTTGTGCAAGACACAAGTGGGAGTCTGTGGATCCTCCCGTTGGCTGTTTCCTTGAAGGAAAAACAGGAAAACATAAAACATGGTTCGCTAAACAGTTTTTTTTCCCACTTAAAATTACATTTGAGAAGTTTTTTGACAAGTGAAGCTTCAGTCAGGAGTTCAAACTCGTACATCTCATCCCTCCCTGATAGAATCCACACGTACTTCACTCACAGTATTTTGCACTTCATTGACATTTAAAGTTACATGATGCAGATTTGGACGAACTCCTGCCGACCTCGTGTACCTGAACGCAACGCTCACAGGAAAACAACACTTCATGCTGCTTTTCTTCCCGTAAATAGAGCAACAAAACGTGAAACGCAGCCAATTTGGAACAACAAGTGCTTCTGACATACTTACAATTATTACAAAATATTATTATAAGCTCGTCTGTTGTGCTCAAACTTTCTCCTCAGTACAGAGTTGACACCAGAAGTTCCCATATGCTGTTTAAAAAGACACAAAACCTTTTTTTTTTCTCGCTGTCTGACATTAAATCAGACTAAACTTTTTCTGTTTTAGGTCAGTTAGGATTAACAAAATTATTTCTATTTACTAAACACCAGAATAATGAGAGAGAGAATTTTTTTTAGAGAATTTTTTATTTTTTTCTTCAAAATCAGAAGTTTACATACACTACGATGCCTTCAAACTAAAAGCCTAAATGATGATGTCATGGCTTTGGAAGCTTCTGATAGGTTAATTGACAACATCTGAGTTAATTGGAGGTACACCTGTGGATGTATTTTAAGGCACACCTCAAACACACTGCTGCCTTTTGTGACAACATGGAAAATCTAAAGACATCAGCCGAGATATCAGGAAGAGAACTGTGGACCTCCACAAGTCTGGTTCATCCTTGGGAACATTTTCCAGATGCCTGAAGGTTCTACATTCATTTTATATGCAAGTATGAACACCATGGGAATGTCCAGCCATCATAGGCTCAGGAAGGAGACGGGTTCTGTGTCCAGAGATGAAGTGTTTTGGTTGAAATGTGTGAATCAACCCCAGAACAAAAGCTGGAGACCTTGTGAAGATGCTGCTGAAGCTGGTCAGAGTCATTATCCACAGTGGAACCAGTCCTGTACCGACATGGGCTGGAAGGACACTCAGAGAGGAAGAAGACATCACTCCAGAAGAAACATAGAAAAGACAGATTACAGTTTGTAGATGCACTCAGGGACAAAGAGCTTCATTAGTGGAGACATGTCCTGTGGTCTGATGGAACTAAACCTGAACTGTTTGGCCTTAATGACCATCGTTACATCTGGAGGAAAAAGGAGGAAGCTTGAAGCCTAAGAACACTGATTTAATGTCAGATAGTGAGAAAAAAAAAGGTTTTGTGTCTTTTTATACAGTGGATGTAAACTTCTTGTTTCATTTCTTAACTGCAGTCGTGTTTATTTTATATATAAAATAT